ATGACATTTAAATTTATCTCTCGACTTCATTAAAAGTGAAAAAATTTGTGTGCTAGTTCAAGAAGAAAATAGTTATTACTTTGAATTTCCAGTCTGTGTGTAAAATTATTGAATGTTTAAAAAGTGATAGTGGATTTATTACAGCAAAAGACTTTGTGACTCATGAAGTGACCCAATTCCTATTTCTCCATTTACGGGATAAGTGTATATATTTTTGTGTTATTGTTGGTACCAGTATTGGTATCGTTATTCACCGCCATCACGGATCCCAATAGGAGAATGTATTGTACTTATCCCTTCTATAGACCATTCATGTACTTGCCAACAAAATTGGCCAATGTAAGTAATCATCATAATTAATGCAGATTGTGGAGTTAGTGGTTTGCCTTTGGATTAAAATTGGATAAATTGGGCTATCTTTATAAGTTATTATTAGGCCACGAATATGTTGTTTTTTTTATTTTCGTGGCATCAAGATGAGAGAATTATTTCTACTGTAAAGTAGTAATTGTGAAAATGACACTAGCCAATCATTTGTAATAATTAAATATTTGTGTAAGGGTGTCAAATGTTTTCACAGTTCCTTATTAACAACAATGATTTCATTAGGATGTGATTAGTCTAATAAGTGGCTTTGAGTGGTCAAGTTACATTGTAATGGTCAGTTGTTGATGTAATGTTATGAGAGGTCATTTCCTCCCTCACTTATCAGATGACCAGGGTTATGTAAGGCTAGTTAAATCATTGGTCAGTTTAACACCATCAACAGTTTCAGTTTTCCATTAGGGAGTCTTCTTTCACAAGATTGCGTAATTTGCAAAATGTTCTTGGTCCTCAGCTTTTGAAGTTTGTTATAAGTTTTGAAATTGAAAATATTGATGGTAAGTTAAGGCTTTGCTTGCATAAAGAAATTGGATACTGGTATGTGCATTGTGTAATTTTGGTCTGTTAAACAGTGTTATATTTTGTGATAAGTATAGCAGGCCCTTCTTTGTGTTATTAGAAAAACATATTTAATAATCAATTCAAAATATATTGGATCAGTAACAAAATCCTTTTAGCGAGTGCGATAAAGATTTAAAACTTTTATATGAAAATTTATTTTAAGAAGTTAAGGGGAAGAGAAAGAAGAGGTATTTACAGTATATATTGATTTTATAACAATTCTAATCTAAAAGCCTGGTTTGATTTATTGTGTAATTTATGTAATATTTAGATACAATATTTTATCCACTGTTTTCTGTCATTTGTTAAAATACTTGTCGACACTATAGTAGTGTAAGAATTAATCTCTGTGATATGTACACAACATGTATTGGTATAGAAATATAGATTTAATCGTAAGTAATTTTCTGATATAGAAACAAAATTAGGAAGTAAATTTGTTATTAGATCACAAGTTAAGTAATGTATGGAGCAGTGCAATGTACAGTAAGTAACATCAGATGAAAGCCAGGAAGAAGAAATATTGTTGCCTACAGTGCAAAGTATGTTATTTAGCACTTTATCTTGCCGTATATTAATTTATTTACAACCAGATATTTTTATGATATTACTTCCGTAGCGTAACTTGAAGACTGTGGCTTTTAGATGTTTCAGAGCCCCTAAATCTAATATAGATATTTTTAAGATTGAAAAAATATGTTTTTAGTTTAAAAAAAGAAAAAAATATGCAAAATCTTTTAATATAAGATAAGAAATAAATTTGGTTATGGGATTAAGTGAATTTTTTTTTTTTATCTCAGTATAGTCGTGATTATTATTATTATTGTCAACAATATCTTAGATTTCTGTATAGCTATCTCTAAGTCAATCCATTATTAATTTTGTTTGTCTGCCAATTGTCACGTTGAAATAATACCGAGATCATGAAATATGTATTAAGGACATTTATCCATTATTAGAATTTTACATGATTTTTATTTTGTAACAAACATAAAATGGGATGGAGCCATGGAGGTCGGGGTTGAAAGAAAGGAATTAAAATATTGCATTTGATTTAATTAAATAATTACAGTTATGTGGAGAGATTATAGAAATTGTAATAATTTATCATGAATTGTATAAGCCTATAAGATAAGATCTTAGTCCTATTCTTGTCTTCAGCCTACATAAAATTTCCTCTAGTATGTTTTCAAAAGGAAAAGAAAACGGATAAAATAAATGCTTATAATGACATTTTGAACTTTGTTTTTAACCATTTTTTGTTAAATCATCACTGTTAGACATTCTTGTTTAAATATGGTAGCAGAATGATGATAGTTCACATTAGATTTTAATATAGTTATTATAAAAACCGTAAAATTGGCGTTGTTCTCAATTAATACTCAGTTGTACTGGATAAGATCAGTTGTTAATGAGTGAAACATCTTGATAAAATCAGTAGTGGGTAGATTGTATCAGTTGTAATCAGTTACTTTGTTTTTGGCCTTATTCACTTATTTACTTGGACCCCTAGACAGGCAACAGTTTTATTAGGGTAATTATATCTATTGATTATTTAAATTGTATGATTAATTGCAGTGATAACAAAATATCCCCACGTTTAATACAGTGATGTTCTATCTTTATAAGATTCAATTACATGTTTTATATATGTCAAAATTTTATATAAATTAATATATATATATAGAAGTGAAAATTGATATACTTCGATAATATTATCAATTTATTTTGAGTTCAATTGCAAATCAAGATATTACACAGTGCAACTGATATTATTCTAAACATTCTGGTCGAAGTAAATGGTGTATGAAGGTAATATTACAAAGAATAAATTATTTAATATCTTCTTAAAAACTGGAAAAAACATTTCTGAAATGAGTAATATTGAAATTGTTTAGAACACATAAAGGTATTGAGGTAATTTATAAAAGCTGGCTAGCGTTATCTTTTGATTGAAATGAAGTGAAGTATTTAAAAAAATTTAGTCTTTTATTATTGGGAAAATTGTAGTTCACAGATTTTGAATGTAGTTTGTAACTATTGTTGATTATTAAATTATTGCTGAATATTTATTTAATATATACATGTAGGTGTATAAATAATTATAGAAGGAAGTCTACCTATTATCAGATTGATGATGAATGTCCACCAATTCTCCATCTATTTCAAGAATGTGTCGGCATCAATTAGAGTTTTACTGATGAACCATTCATCTTTCTTATCCTAACTACTTATCATTCCCCGTAATTACCTTTTGTCAGTGGACTGCCAACAATTTCTGACTATACATCTATGGGTACCATAAGATAAATGAACTAGCTAGAACTTTGTTTATATTATTATCAGAGAATATTATTGTTAAGAGGTCTTCTTACTTTCATGGTATAAAATGATTTGTAATTAGTTTTTATCACAAATTACTGCTTTAAATTCTTGACATGTTTTGTTAGTGGGTTTTTTGTTTTAATTTGTGTAAATTTAATCCAGTTTCCATATTGTTATTAGAGTTTTAAAGATAAGTTGTAATCAGGATTTTAAAGATTAGTTGATAGAGATCCCAGCCTTCATTTTAGCTTCCATCTGTATACTGTCACAGCCAACACTGCACATGGAAAATAATTATTATTAATATTAAGAAATAAGGGCTTAAGTTGTCAGTTTGTCATTCACAAGGTAAGAATAGGTACAACACATTTTTAAAGTTTATATCTTGAGTATTCTAATAAAACTTGATTGCGCATTTAAAATCTTATGATGAATAAACTTATGTTATTTACCGGTAGTAGCTTGAGATACATGTGTCATTGTCTATTTTCTATATTGATATAATTTACCAAAGTTTCCTACTCTGTGTGTCAAATCAGTTGTTGATTATAATGATGTTCACATATGAAGTATTAATATAAAAGGAATTTGTTTGTTGTATGTGTCAAGAGTAAGAAACATAGTATGCATGTGAAATTAGATCTAAAGTATCATATGAAATATATCGAGGAAATTGCTTTGTTGTGTAGGGAGGGAGAGATGTATTTGACCTCTGTTTGTACCTAGTCATATGTTATTATTCCTACACCAGAAATCAAATGGCAACCCAGGGGAGCTCACCCTACCTTTTCTGCTTTTAATTAATCTATATCTTTATATCTTTTAAACTATCGATACATACATACTGTAACCATTATGTTGTACAAAAATATATATAGATGTATATATATGGCTAGTTTTCTTGTTTTCGATAGTGGGTTGGATGATAACTTAAATCTGTTGTTACAGAAATTAAATTTACAAAGTGGCCTACATCTAAAAATAAAAAGGCAAATCACTGTTAATGGTTTTTATGAATAAAAATGGTTGTCTATGTGCTGGTGATTAACTGTAGAAGATTTGTTTAAAGAGAGAAAGAGAAAGTTTAACAAGTGAATGATAAATGATTGTAGGAAAGTAAAAGTGATAAAAAGCCACCAACTGACTGTAAAAGTGATTAATCTACATGTCCATCTCCTACATCAAACTGTCAATTATCTTCTACACGTCTGACTTGAAAAAAGCCTCCAATCTAAAACAATCATGCTTATTGATAAGTGTAGGTTGAATTAAGCCTCTTCCAAACAAATTACCAGAATAAAAACACATTTTTTGGTGTTGTCTGCAAATCTAGATAATTTTATTGAATTCTTTTTAACCAAAGTCAGTTTCCTAAAATTAATAAATAAGATAGCAGAGTGTTAACATTATTATTTCTTGAGAAGTTTTTACGCTGTATTTTCTTCATTTAACAAGGCAGTAGGCACACTTAAATCTTTTTGCGTATTACAAAAAGGCAACAAACTAGCAATTTTTATTTTTGCTTCAAAGAAATAGGAATTTGTTTGTAAGAGTTTATAATCTTCAAATCTTGAACTAAGTAAACATTTTCTGGATATTCTTTCATCAGATTTAATAATGTAATTTATTTTAAGTGTTTGATTCTTATTGAATCTAGGATTTACTGTGTTGTGCTTGTTTACAAACATATTAATTCAAATTTTTTTATCGTCATTTGATTTATGTTCCAGGTGTATTCTCCAAATGCGGATGAGTATCCACAAGACTCACCAAGATACACATCTCCAAAACCAGGAATGTATGGGGATTATTTTTTAGGTAAGTTATTTTAAAGATGTCAAACCTATCTTTTGAAATTATGATATAGATGTATGGAAAAATAATTCACTTGTAAACTGTATACAAATTTAAATCAATGTATTTTTGAAAAACATATTTGCATTTGGAAACAGACAAAAGCCAGCAGACATCATTTTGTTTTTGTTGCTGTAAACTGCTATAATCTAAAAATGTAAACAGTTTAAAATCTGTAGGCAGCTTCAAAAATATATATGTTATTATATTTTATATTACAAGCATTTGAAATAAAGTTTCAATTACACTGAATACATAAAGATAGTATTATGGTGATATATTTACTTATTGCTTTTGTAAGCCAATATTTAAATATTCATATTCAGATTTTCTGTAGTTAGCTAGCTACAGTAGTTCTTTAGTTCCCTCTACAATATTTTTATAAATGACTGTAATATTTGTTTTATCTCTCTTGCTCCCCTCCCCCCACAGAATTTAAAAAAGATATGAAAATAATTGTTCAGTCTTCAAAAAATCTGTTTTCTTGAATTAAGCAGGACTTTCAATCAGATTAAATGTATAATATTTTATTTGTGTAAACTTATACTGGGTATTCCCAACTTGTCCTGGATTACTTTGATGTCTTTTGATTATTATAATGAGTTGGTTCGTCCGTCCGTCTGTTTCACTCTTTGGAAACAGTAATGAGGGAGAATGTTCAAACTTGATGTAGTTGTTTATTAGGTGAACGATTTGACTGGGTTTGATGATGAGCAATATCTGCTTAGGCTATGTAGAGATAAGCAATTTGATTTGTTGGTGCTTGGGAACCAATGACTTTACCGTAATTGAGTGAGAGTGATATGTATAGTTCATTACATCAACACCTTGACTAAGTTTAATAATGAGCATTTTGAAACATAAATTTTTTCAATCCAATGAAGTTGAATATTTTATGTCATTTTGCTGAGACCATATTGATTTTTTTCCCAGTTGTTTTCATTATGTGATGTCTTAATTCAATTATTTCAGATACACCTCATAGTAACGCCGACCCGTGGTCCTCCAACAATGCATTGCCTTCCTCCACTTACCCCTCCACAATGCTGCCTAGCAGTTCACACTACTCTCAGGCTTCTTCTTATAACAATATGCACCATCCACATGACATGGTAAGTTTCTGTCTACAATAACAAATCTTAAGTAATTAAGGGTGAAAACATTATTAAAATATTGCTGTGATAAATACATATTTATTTTATCTTTTCAAAATAAAGATCTGTATCCTTTTGTGAGGCAGTCTTCCATTCCCTTTATATATTATATAAGCTTATAGGTGTAACTGAAAATAAAATAAATCAAGTAAATTGCATCTCATTTTGTCAAACCCTTTATTTTTAAATTTTGGGAAAGGGTTTATTTCTGGATAGTTTTTAGTAAATTAGATAGGTTAACATGGCTGGATAAGAATATTTATTATTTTTATTAGATAGTAACAATATTCGAAAGGAAAACTGTCCTGTCCCTAATGACCTACAGGAAATATAAATCATCACAAGTGATTAGAGTGAAGGCTGCTGTTTTCTAATTAAATGAAGATATATTTTCTCTGGCAATGTGTTTTGTATCAGTGCGTTTTAGAATGCCTGCTGTGGGCAATGTGGCTTAAGTATAAATCCTCTCTCCCCCTTTTCAATAAAATATTATGCTTACTTCCGCTGTTAACTAAATTGGTAGAGATCATTTATACATGCACAAATATTAGGTCAAAAACATTCAATGTGTGTGCGTTTTTTTTTTTTAAATGCTAAAATTATTTAATTCTCATTTTTATAAGACCATATTTTTTCCCCTTATTTTTTAGCCTAGATCGACTTTGGTACATTTTATCTTTCTGTCCAGACTTTCAGCTATTGATGTGTCTTTCATTTTCTGCTATGTTTCTAGGACAGATGTGAAGCTGTAGGACTTATTTAAATATGATAAATAACTATAGCTGTAAGACTAGCGATGCCTGCTAGCTATCTGCTCCCAACATTAGATATATTTATACCTATATCTGCTTTACAACATGAAATTTCATCAGGCTTCAACATGCTGCTAAAGCTGTTAGCTTTTCCCTCCATTTTTTATCAAAGAAAAAATTACCTTGCATCTGGAAATGAGGCAACCACTAGCAAGATGATGTTAACCAGATGTATAGAACATTAGATTGAGCAGACACACAATTTAGAGAGCAGACAGCTTCCAGATTCAAGACCCAAGTGCACAGACAAATATTCTAGACTGTTCACACCTGAGGCATGTCTATACCTACATGTCCAATGTTAAGACATACCTGTCAATAATTCATGTGACTGATTAAATAAAATTATATTTTTTTTCCAGGGTTATCCCCCAATTTCTCCTAATCAAGAAGCAATGTTGTCTTCCGGTCTTCCGCCAATGTCCAGTTTTCGAGGGCAAACAATGCCCGCTACATCATCTCCCACTGTTAATGGATCTGAAATCATTGCCAACAGACCCAACCCTGTTAATACACAACAAACTGGTGATGCTCTGGGGAAAGCATTAGCATCTGTAAGTAAAAACCCTTTCGCATAAACATGATATTCTTTCAAAACCGTCTTGACGTGTTTTTCATAAAACTTGAAATCCACCCATATTATAAAGAGTTAGAGGAGAATGTGGCTTGAGGAAAATATTAATACTGTATATTTATTCAGTGTCAGAATTGGCCAGTCTCCAAGCTGGTTTTGCTTATGAAAGCTTTGTGGAATGTTATCCGGTAGTAAAATGTATAATAACAAGCCATATAAACCCGAGAAAATACTCTTGTCTTTTTCCTGGGAATGACACGCGTTGGTAGCATGGTTGATGTTAGCGATATGACGACAATTTGGTCCGTCAATGAATGCCAGGTGATTTTGGCCCTATCCTGTAATTAATTTCATATGTCTGGCATGTGCTCCACTAGCTAAAATTCATAATCTAAACAATTCATCATGGGGTTAATAAAGAAGTTTGAATTCCTGCATAGCTGAAGCAATGGTTATGATGAGAATGATAATAGGCAGCTATTTAGTTTTATGGGTAAAATGAGTATCGTGGGGGTAGAGCTTGGCATCTAATCAGTTTTTATGAACATCATTTGTATTTTGTATTAGTATAAACTTATGTCGATAGATATTTAGATGCTAACTTATTTATCATAATAAATTTATTAGAATTATTTGTGTGGGTTATGATAGGTATCAATCTCTTAATAATGCACTTCACTATTTTCAAAATGATAAATATTTATCAGGAATTTATTTCATGAGAATTAAGCCATCATGGTCCTCTATCATACACATGGGATATTTACATGCACATAAGAAACAATTCTCAATAAGAAATTGTATAGGATGGAATGCTTTATAGTGCTGCATGATACTGTTAGTGTCGAAGAGTTAAAAGGTACCAACTGGAAAAAAATGTCCAAGTTTTGAATGATTTTCATGTATTGTCAATAAAAACAGTGTGTATCTGGAATACAGACTATGTAGATGATGTTGTAGATGTAAGATTGGTTTGCGTCATCTAAGAATAATGCATCTAGTCTATCACACGAAGAACACCCAGAACTCTTTACATCTATTTGTGATTGTGTGAAAATGTACATACCACATGGGTGCACCTCTATATCAGTTTTGTTTATTTTTGTCCAGTGTTAAGGCTGTAGCGAACATTTAAAGGATGATTATTGTATTGTCTTTCTCAGTAGTTTTAGAACACACATTATTCTAGTACAATATAAATGTATTAGTTTCTCTCAGATAGAACACACACAATACTTTATCGAGATCTTGTAAAATAATGATCAGATCAGGGGCCTTATTCGCAAAAGCTTACTATATTAAAATATTGCTGAACATACACATTCATTGGCTTATAGCTAAAAGTTTGCACTAGGATTTTAACAATCATCAGGCAATGAAAAGGTTGCAGGTTTTAAAAGTTCAACTTTTGGTGAATAAATGTTTTGAATGTTACATTTGACATCTTGTCAATTGAAATTTAATATGATTTACATGTTCTCTAACATACAGATCATCAGTGTTGTTACAATAGATCTTATATGATTTTGACTTGTTTATTAAAATATTTTTCAGATATATTCTACAGAACATACTGGCAGTAGTTATGGAGGATCTAATCCTTCCACACCTGTTTCCTCACCTCCCCCTATGTCAGGTAGGTTAGCAAACTTTTAAATGGAATGTTCAAGTTTATTAAAACAGTTACTAGTAATTCTCGTACAGATTCCACCAAGGTCATTTCAGGTCATATAATTTCTCAATTTACATAGTGCAAGACATTTATATTAATTCACCTCCAGTTCACCAATTTTCATCATAAATTGTAGACATTAATGTGAAATAAAAATATTTTGAATGAAATACAAGCCAATTTAAACATTATTTTTTTAGCGAATTGATAAATATTGTGGAAATGGTGCAGTAAAAAGTTATTGTTAATTTTACGATTACAAATATATAACAAGATTTAGATACCGGATAAATTTTCAATAATCTTTCTCAGGGAAGTGCAGAGATGAAACATTATAATATTGTTTCATATTAGAGAAATTCATACAGCTACTGTAAGACAAGAAGTTAATGTAGTACAAAATTAATGCATTGTTTATTAAAATTAATGCAACCCACTGTATCTTATTGTTTCCTAAATGACTGATTGGCTTCTTGTGATTTTAGCACAGAAGTTACACTCCATATTCAAATAATTACGACCTTGTTATGTTAGTATCAAGATTGATTGGTCATTGTTCTGCATATTCCTGAAGCAATGGCCCAAGAAATCCCTCTCTGTCCATTGCTGGATTGACTTCTGATACTTGAGCTTTTGAGGGAGTGTCTCTATTCTTCCCATTCAATCAAATCTATCCCAAATACAGCAACATGACAACTCATTGTGTAATCTGGGGTCTTCCCTAAAACTTTGGACAGTGATATTAAAAACAGTAAAAGGATTGTTCGTCTCCAAACAGTATTGTTTACATTGTGTCCATTTTGATAGACTCGTTTGTCCCGCAGTTAGTTTTTTCTGCAAGATTCTGCTATGCACTGGTTAATTGGGCTTAATAAAATTGTGAGTCATTACATAACGTGATGTAAACGTATTTGGTCCAGTTTGGAGCTCTGTTTAAAGCCTAATGATATTCCTACGCAGTTAGCTATTGGTTGTTAATCGGACTATTGACAAGTCATAATTTGGAACAGAAATTTTCTTCCATTACAGCAGTGTTAAGTGTGATTAGGTCTTATCAAACGAAACTCTGCGAGGAGTATGATTGTTCTGTTGCTTTGAGTAATGTTAAGTTTGACTATACTGCTGATCTACGGTGGTACCTCCTCTATCGACCAGAAATTTGTAATGCATTAATTTATTTTGTCTAACAGTAAGTTATTTAAATCTTAAATACTTTAAATTGTGTTAGAAATTAAATGATTAGTATTGGATGTTCATTGTTGCAGCTTCGTCCAGCCAATGGCATCGGCCAACAAATCACAGTGCTACCTCCCAACAACATTTTGAGGGTCATTTACATCCTATGGTAAGTTTAGGAAATGAATTATTACTTTAAACTGTTAGCATGGAATGACCTATTTATTTATTTCTATTATTCTGAATGTGATAGGTGTTAAGCACAGCACGTACATCATAATATAATATTGAGATTTGATACAAATACTTACTACAAATGTTAAGTTACATACATAATGGCAGCCCATTGTCAGCCCATTTTGCAATTTTCTAATGTTTTTTAACAGAATAAACCATTAACTAAAACTGAAGAAATAATATCTTTTGAAAAACTGTGCCTGATGGAAAAGGGAATATATTCCATATGTTTTGTTAATTTGTAGGTTTGGTTTGCTGCATGTGTTTACAATTACCTCTAGGGTTTTGTTAAAATCAGAACGTACTTGTAGAAAGCATATCTACATTAGTAATATCCATTAATCTCTATACATTGATATTCAACATATGATAAAATCATTATAGCCAATTATACCACAAAAATATGGTTTTAACAAATGTTAGTAATAAATAAAAAAATCTGCCAACATTCCATATAGAAATATTTTTATTAGCCTACAATGTTTTGTGGTATACAATAATATGCATATGATAATTTATCAATATTTTATCCACACAGAAATGGATTCCTGTTCATGCATTGTATCTAACTTATGCAAAATATGTATAGATGCAATACCGTTCTGTCAGAATTGTAAATTATGGAATGCACTGAACTATTTATTAATAGAGTCTATAATTCAGTGAAGCTATTTTAAATAATATTTTTTTATGTTAAAATGAAAGCAGAACAGACAAATTAGTTTTTCAATAAAAATACTCTTATCTCATTTAAATTGAGTAATACTTTTACATATTATTACTATATATATTTGAAAAATTATTTTTGCTAATATCAAATCTGTTTTGCGAAGTAAGAACAAATTTATTGTGAAAGAATAAGTGGGAAAAAAAATCCCACTCCAAACTATCAAGATATTAAATTTATTTACTTTTCTTGGGAAAAAATATAAAAAAAATGAAATTTTGATAATATAAGAATCTAAATCTTAATGGGTTGTTAAGAAGCTGTAATCTTTATAGTTTATTAAGATTCCCCATTCTTTAATGGTTCACATTTTTTCTTGGATTTTACTATATTATCACCCTTTGCATGCTTTTGTTTTACTAACACGCATCCTAATTGGTCCTTTCTTTCTGTGCATCTTGATAGCCCAGCATTCTCCATACCAGTAATCAACCCATGGAACGTCTGAATGAAGCTATTCATATGCTGCAGGAGAATACTGAGGTAACCATATTGGTTCAACCTTTTCAGCCACATCTACCTGTATTTTATAAATCATGGTCATATAAGTATTCATTTATTTAAATCATTGGATTAATTACTAAAAACTCTGGTGATAAGTAGGGTAATGGTATGCATGTGATTGTTGTTTACATGTGCATGTAAGGTTTAATCTCTTCAAAAGATATGTTTATAATCAATTTCACTCAAAAATTACTTGGGTCACCCACCAATCACAACGACTATTTGATCCTGACTAAATTGTCTAGATTCATAAAGCACAATTTTCTATTTAATATTGTAAGCACTCAATGTTTGGTTGTTCCTTTTGTGTTTTGCACCAGTGAATTTTTAAAAAAACCATTATAATTGGATGCTTGTGTTCAATAAAGTTTAAATATGTGAACTATTTATTACAGGCCCGAGCAGAAGACAGATTGGAAGATGCCATCCATGTTTTACGAAATCATGCTGAAGGTCAACTACAAGGATTACAACATCCAGGACTTCCTCCCATGATGCCACCCACACATTCCAATGGCATGATGGGAGGTATAGGTCCATACTCAGGCATGCTGGGAAGTCATATGGATTCTCATATGGTTAGTTTTTTTGTACTTGTTTTTTTTATTTTTTTTATTATTATACCTAAGGTTAGCTTGAGCTTTCTGGAATCTAAGTCCAAACTTTTATGAGAGAAATTTACATACATACCAAATTTCATTTATGTTTGTATCTAATTGTGACACAAACAATATACTTCTGTGGTAATAGTCAATTATTTGAATATATCATGCAATTAATAACAATTTGCCCACTTGTACTCATACACACCGTAATTAATTTGAGTTGATAAATATCAATACTAGACAATTATATATCCCCTTGTTGACCTTAGCCACTAGTCACTTTACAAATTACTTATATACAGGAAATACTTTATAGTTTAATCATTTAGTTAGTTGTTCATTAATTATCGTGGCATGTTACTGTCTCAAGTTGTTAAACCACTAGACAAGTAAGGTGTAGCACTTAATAAACGAGATGTTCAAGATGCTAGGTATCTTGTAATGTGTAATAATATATTAACTATAAAAGAGTCTTGTGATATATAGGTAAGTATGTTAAAAGTATGTGGCATATGGTAAGATTTTTAATGTATGGCAATGACAGATCTGGCAGTTAAAACTAGCACCTGTTATTGTCACTCGGTTCTCTTCACCGTAAGCTTCACACCATCACCACACTCTACACATACTATCCTTCAACTTGTCATACATCACTGGATTCTATTATTAACAATCTCTTGACATAATCTTACCTACAACTATTTAACTTATTTAATCAACATACATCACACAAATTAGCTGGAAAGATAAACCCTGTGCCTTTATCTTAACTTTACTAAATACATGATTAAAAGAAGAAATTTACACCTTTAGATATGGTTTTCTCAATTTCAAATATTTCATTCTTAACCAGCACTTTTTTTTTCCATTGTTATGGATAGCTCATTCATAACTAGTATCACTCATTCTTAATTAATATATGAATCACACTCATTCTTCACTAGTATGGATCACATACCATTCTTAACTAGCTGATACAAATAATACTCATTCTTAATCAGTGATCAGAATATTCTGTGGATCACTATACAGTATTGTTCTTATTCCTAATAGAGCTCTGTGAATCACACTCATTCTTAACCAATATACATGTATATCCCTCCCATTCTTAACCAAACATAATTTTAGAGTCTTACAGTAAGATCAAATATATAAACAACATACGTTTACAGATTTTGAATATAGGATAGTCTGTTGATGTAAAAATTGTAATGGTATCTATATTTAAACATGCTATGTTTATATCTACAAGTCGGATGTGTTTAGCATATATCATCTGGTTATCTAACATATGGACAAGTAGTTTGACTAGTTCTTCTCTCCCCAGTTCAATCACTCCTCTCTCTGTATGGTACTGTGGCAGCTGGATACAGGGACATCTGGCCAACTGTCCTGTCCCTACCATTCAACACATTGGTTAGGTAGGCAACACAAGGTTATAACCCATATGTAAATTTACAACCTATTACATACATTTATTTATTGAAAACCGGGTGACGTATATAATTTGTCATCTATTAAACATCATGCATATATTATAATATACAATGCCTATTATCAAATAATAAACATTAACAGCTGCCTCATATTATAGAGCGCTTTAGTATATCATAAAGCTCAAAATGGTATCTCAATATAACATGAAACTAGTATAAATTGTATGCTTATCTCTTCCAAGTTTTCATTATATTCTAATCAGTGGTGTGATAAATGGTGGCTGATTGCTGTCTGATGCTCTCGGTGTTGAGTGTTTTATTTTTTACCTGGGCATCTTTGGCAGGTTTCACACCAGCTGGTATTTGTTAAGTAGAGAGATTTTTCCACAGCTGTTTTCAATACAGGCTAAGGTTGTGCTTCTCTTCTCTGCTTTTTGACGAGGGCCGTATGTTTATTTAGTAACTGGCTGTCTTGGAAAAACAAACATGATGTGCCAATCAGATGGGCCGAAACTAAAACCAGCCAATGAGTGTGGAGGGCGAGTGTTAGGGTGGTGTAGATAAACAGGAAAAATGGCACATTATCAGGGAGAGGAAGAGAGCGGGAAGAGGTCGAAGGATACCGCCAGAATGCCATCATAAATATCACCTGATTTTAAAAGTCACGAAAGGCAGGCAATTATTCCAAGATATTTAAATGTAAGCCAGACATTGACTTTCTATTGAAGGTTATTCTTAATTCCTCCTTTATTCCTCTCAAGTTTCTTCTACATACAATATCTCCCAGCCTTTAACATGTACACTTCAATTTACCTGACATTTTAAATTCTACTGCACCAAAAAAACACAAGTTAATAAAACAAAAGTTTTCAAATTTGAAAATGGAGAAAAAAAAAATCGCATTGATGTCTAACAAGATTCTAATGAATTTGAGTGTTTTTGTAGTAACTTTAGCTTTTTGTAGAAAAAGTGAATTTTATTTACAGTATTTCTGGTAAACACATGAAACACTAATTATATCTCAAACTTTAAAAGTTTAAAACTTCTAAACATGGCCCAACTTAAAAAATCTCAAATTACAAAATGCCAAGAGTTGAAACTTCCATTAGTCTTTGAAAACTGTAATGACTTTCAAATGTTATCAACACATGGTAATGTTTTGAAATTTTTCTGCTAGAAGCATAACTGGAACAAAAATTATTTCTTGATATCTGCACCAGATGCATAATTGGGCTGCTAAGGCAGGGGAGGTTTTTCCTTGCTTTTGCTGAAAGGAAAATAATACTCTACAAATACATTTCACATCTGTTAATTATTTTTTAAACTGAACATTTTTTCGTAATGTGTTGGGAGAGAGTATTTCACTGAAGGATGTTTACAGAAGGCCCAAGTTTGAGAAATCGACCAGCTGTAATTATCATCAAGCACAAATTGACGAGGAAAACATTCGCTCTTTTACAGATCACCAAAGTTAGAAAATCACAATTTTAATGGTGAGACATTTCAAACTGAAAAAATATATCAGTTGTGGGAATCTGTATAAATGGTTTTAATTTTCGATTTCATTGGGATAGGTCTATCTAATTTAAAACTGGTTTCAGTATCAGCTGGAATATTCTTGGTACTCTTAAGCACTTTCACTTCAGACATCTTCTGAGATGACATTATGTATATGACGATAATGCATATTCATTCTTACATAGTTGAAATGTTTTGGGTGTTGTTGTTTTTCCCCACTACAGTGCCATTAGTGACATTAATGAGTCTATATTTAGATAAAGTATTGTATGAATTATTCTATAGTATGTTTTACACTGTGTCAGGGATGTTATGTACATGTCTAGTAAAACTATTGGTCATGGCTGATTGAAGATTGGAACTAAGTAATGCAATTACCATCTGGCATTTCCTCTCTCTCCATCCTATCTCCTACTAACTCTTACTTCTAACTCAAATCATGCCTCATTGAAAATTTTGACATTCGATAGAAGTAACAGATATTTGGCAACCTCTTCAAGCTGCTTTTTGATTAGTAATTTAGTTGGTGAAAATAATTTTAACTTTACATTCCTTGGTTGTGCAACTTAATGTGTCATGAAGACTCAACCCATTTCTGGTTATATACTATTTATACCCCCTACTGATTTATAAATCATATACCATATGATCATCAACTTTTAACCTAGCACTGAAATGAGTTTGTTGTAGTTGATGATTAAAACCAGTTTACTTTTCAACTGGCAATATAATGAGGTAGATACTGAACCAGAAGCCATATGGTCAAACCCATTCACAAATCCTGTTATTAAAGATTAATAAAATGAATATTAAAAAAATAATCAATTTCAGTATTTGAAATGTTAATGTATCTTATAATATGATTGCATATGGACAAAACTGTTCATTCCTAAACAAAGTTTCACGATTTCCAGTGAAATATGGTTTCATTAAAGATACATTATGGGAGATACGATAAAAAGATGGCAGTTCTCGCTATAATAATTTAAAACTAGATAGTGTTACGGTAATTTGCTGAAAATTTCAGTCAAATTGATCCACTATGAGCCGAGAACGAAGCGGGTGAAATTTACGCATAGTCTCGGTCATCATTACTAAAATCATTAATATAAACAGCATAGTCTCGATTATCCACTGTTTTGATTTAATTATCAATGGCCGTTAAGCGGCATATAGGAATCTAATCCAGCCAATATCGAAGGCTAGCCTTGACATCAAGAGTTTATTATGGCCTGGATAAGTTAATTAATATCTAATTGATAATTTAGATAACATTTCAGGCCTAATGAAAGACTTGTAATAAGCAGATTTTGCTCTTGCATAATGCATGTTTAAACATGCATTATGCAATAGCTAAATCTGCCAATTGTTTAAACATGCATTATGCAATAGCTAAATCTGCCAATTGCAGGTCTTTCTTTAGGCCTGAAATGTTATCTAAATTATTAGACATTAATTAACTTATCCAGACCATAATCAACTCTCGATGTCATCGCTAGCCTGCGATATTTACTGGATTAGAATCATATCTGCTGCAGAACGCTCATTGATAATTAAATCAAAAAATGGATAATCGAGACTATGTTTTTTTTATCATACCAACTTTAGTAATGATGATCAAGGCTAGGCCAAAAATTCAATCGCTAAATTATTGGTTCAGAGTGGATCAATTTGACTGAAATTTTCATTAAATTCCCTTCACATTATCTAGTTTTTAACTATTATAGTGAGAATTGCCAACTATTTATCTAATCTCCCATAATGTATCTTTAACAAAGGTTTGTCCTTTATATAAACCTTACAGAAGAATTCATTGATGAAGCCATTGAAGGTGATAACATTAATTAAAGCCGTTTCCAACACACATTGCTATCCGGTTGCATTGATACTAGATTTATTATTTTACATTAATTCTGTGATAAATGTCCAGCAATGTATTGCTATATTATTATATTTTAATATGCGAATATAATTAATATCAATTACAATTTAATGCATGTATGTTGACAGGAAGAGTTTGTAAAGCTGTTATTGCTATCAATATTTAGTGTTTGAGATTCACTGATGTGGAAAGTTCACCTGGCTACTGCTCAGCTCTCCTAGTAAGCCATGTAGTCAGTTAATGAGATAGACACCTGTTGAACGCGCTATTACCCACACAACCAGGTGGGGAAACCATTGCCCAATCTGATCACTGCCATGTCGTACAGTGCAATTCAAATGATGCCAGAAATAATTTGAAGTTAGATCTACAATCAGTATTATGTTGTAGTTGTCAGCTATGGTCTAATAATATATTCTTTCATTTAGCTACAAATAGTTAATCCATTAGCAGTTCCACACATCTTTTTGTCGCTCAAAATAATGACAAGATGATAGTGCTACAACACAATTTTCAAATTTAACAAACTTAAAAGAGCTGCGATGAAATTTTGAAACTAGAAACAAGTACCTGCGTGTAAGTTACACAAGTGAAGACATATTAATAAAATAAGACACATTAAAGTTTAAATGCATTTAACAAAATCACAAATAGTTGTCTGTAGGCTCTGTGATATAAGAACACAGGTATATTGTGTTTAAGTTCAGAGTAGGTAAAATTATGGCACATGTTGATATTAAACCTGGTAACCATTTAGACCTGGTGAAATGGAAGGGTCTTTTTTCTATAAGTTCCAACAGACTAATAGGTAGCAGTTTGTTGTAAAGGTTCTTATTGCTGGTTTTCATCAACTAGAAATGTTAACAGTGTGAGGCAGAAGAATGGTAAAATGTTGCCTAATAAATGGTAAAGCTGTAGATAAGCAGAGTGTGAACTAATTAGCTGTGTAGATTTACTTAACGCTGTGTGGTTTACCTAAAATACTTTCACATGTTCCACATGCTGCTATTTCTTTAATTTAAACTAGAGACTTTAAACCTTGGCTATTACATATATTTCACTGACCTTTCTTACTCATACATCTCTCATGAATAAATAAATCATTGGTCTGCAGATTGAAAATTCTAATAGTTCTCGGCTAAGATATTTTGGTTCACACCAATTTGTAGCATTTCAAGAATTACCAAGTTTATTCTATTTATATACACATACATTTAATGGGAACATTGTTATCAACCCACATGGTACAGAAACTTTATTTCAGAATTGTTACAATTTTAAAAAAATTGTTTGTTCTCATCTTTTATATTTTAGTAAATGGATTTAATAATCTGACACTGAAATTATTAGATATCTTTGTTATATTTTAAAGAAAATTTAGAATTTGATGCTTTGGACATATGACTTCTGACCCTCTTATCTGTAAATGATTGAATTTAGTACAGATTTTATGAGCATAACTTCACCATTAAAATTACTATTTTGGTGTCTGCTTTCTCAATAATTATCTTGATTAGCAAGGTTTATGTGAGATTTGTTAAACTGGGGAGAAATTCTTTTATCAAAGATGTGTGGATTCTATTAAGAATCAGTTGGAGTGTGGCTAATCATTCACCCAGCTCTTGCGAAGACTTTTACATATGTTGTATATCTCCTGCTTGATAAATTGTAAAAATGTTGTCTTAATTTGGCAGTCTGCTTTTCATTTACCTCATTCACTTCGAGGTGCCTCTCTTAATCACATACCTGACAGAGAAGGCGTCACATCATATTCATTTCTTCTTGCATCTTTTCTTCTCTGCACTATTTGTGAAAGCGTTGTTGGATATTTCAGTCGTTTGGGCTAGTTGGGAGACAACTCGTCAAGTTGGGATATTATAGAGTCTTTAGGTTATTGAACTTGTTGAAGCAGTGTTTAGAGAATAGAATCTATGAGTTTCTGTTGTTATTGTGATATATGTAAGGATGTATAACAACTGGGGGTATAATTGGAACTGGAGTAACCAGTATAATAGATATACTGGTAATAATCACATACCTCCAACACCTAATCCACCAACTGCTTGGCATGGTTTACAATACTGGGTATGATTAACAACAACTCTTCCTTAATGCTACTAGTTGGGTGGTGTGAAACTGTTCTAGATTGAATGGGTATGAAAGATGTGAACACGGTTTCAACCATGTTATAAACTACTTGATATTTAGAAGCTTCTGGATTTGTCTGAAGTTCTGTAAAATGTTCCTGTTTAATGTGGAATAATTTTATACCACTCCTTTTCATTTGAAACCAAGTTTATCTTTCCATTCTCGATTTGAAAATTGTTTATAAGTAAAATTCCTGTTGCTTCTCTAATGGAGGTTTTAAAGTGGAATTGGCATGATTTATTCAAGAAGTTCTTCTGGTGTGACACCTGTTAGTCAACAGCTGCAACAACACAACTTATCTCCCCTTGTTATTACAGCCTGTGTGTTAGCACTGTTACCAACAGGCGTTAAGTAGGAAACAAACTAGTGTTATCAAAGACAACTCTCTTAATTACTTGTTGTCTCTAATCACATCACATCAAACATAAATAAAATCATTTCACACACACACCAGTATAATAACTTGTCTGCAATAATCACTATTGTGGAAGCAGACTTAAAACCAGGAGAAATTCAGACAAGTATAACAATGTATTGTTTCTAGTGGCAGGGTCAAACACATCAAACCTATAATACATTATTTACTATGAATTATGTTTCCTTTATATAATACAATATTCTTTTGATATTATTTTACAGGGTAGTCATTCTTCTGTTCCTGGTCCTGATGGAAGACCAGCTGAAAATAAAAGTAAATTTTCTAGTACGTATAGCTCCAAGATAAATTTTATGTTTGTCCATATGACATATACATTTTAAAAAATAAATACTCCCAATCAAACTTCTATTTTACTATGACGTTTTTACCCGTCTTATTTAGTAATTTCAAAGAAAAGGTCAGGTTTTTGCTAAATTATATTTGTCCTAATTTTATCATGCACTATCTACTAGAACATGATTTGCTTAGCACAATATATAATATAAATTTTAGCGTAGCTTATCAATAGTTTGCTCTATGTATGTTATTAAACTTTTTTAGTTAGATGTATTTTAATAAAGATAATTATTTGGCGAGTCAATTTTGATAACCAGAAGTTGATTGTAATTTACCGAATGACATGTAAAGAATAATTGAAGTAATTGTAGGTGTATTTTGTATTACAGCATTAAGAGAGCAACCCTCTGATCAACCCACAACTGATGGTAGTATAAAAGTAGAAAAAATAGACAAGGGTGGAGATGCAAAAGTAACAGAACCTAATAAAAAAGCAGAGAAAAAAATCAGTGCACCTCCCACTAAAAGATCTCGGTATGATTTCTTTTGATTGTCAGAATTCTTTTTTTTACCTTGAGTTTGTAAACAATATTCAAAATTAGAAATGGTTGGAGGAATAGACATAGATGACTTCTGTTTGTAATAATCAAACAACACACCCAGGGACAGGGCTCACACTGTTGGTTGGCAAAGTCGCAATTTGTGATAAAAATATGAAAGTGGCGATTAAAATTTGATTTTGGCCATAATGTTTTGCGGTACTAGCGATTCTTTTTGAGAACTGTCGAAAAAAAACCCATAAAATTCTAATCGTATTTATCCTGGATTGACCAATATTGAGTGTCAATTTCGTGGCAGAATACTATAAATTAATCAACTGGTTGATAATCCCTATCGCGTCAATGAGGAATAGTAATCAGTTTTCTTGGATTAATGATTAATTGATTGATAATTGCCAATGATATATAAAGCCTATCTCAAGTCATTATTTATTCTTAATGATTAATCCAAGCGGTAATTATTTAATGTTTCATTTCATCTTAAAGATAAAATGGTAATACATGTAATCAAAATGGCCGACAGTTCCTTTAGAAGAGAATTAAATATTTTGATAGCTGAATTCTGTTCACTGTAGCTTCATATATGGCTTGTAAAATATACAAGCATGCCTATCGGATATCATTGTCAAATTATAATATCACCACTGGTCGAAAACGTAAGAACGAGTTGAATAGCGACAATTCTTGAGCGAGAAAACAGTTCACCATTTGTATCATATTACCGTCGCCAAAATGCTCTAAGTAGTAAAAGTGAACTACGGGTATATTGTAAGCATCTCTCACAATTATAATTGAAATTTATATTCTATCAGGGATTCAGATTCTGATACCTTTACGGTACCTGAAAATAACAATAGCTGAGACATAAAATTGTTAGATGTTATCTTTTTTATCACACATTTTTGGCAGATAAAATATTCCAGTTAGAAAAAAATATGAAGATTTTTTTATATAAAAATTATCATCCATTTTGTTGGAAAAAAATTGAAAGTCAGTGTAAGCCCTGCCCATAGACATTGAAATGCAAATGCCCTGAAACTTTTTTTATTCAAATTTGCTAACCCCATAACAATGTATACCTTTGTAGCAGAGTTGTAACTGATGAAGAGGAAGAAGATGACACAAATCCTGAAGGTAAACAAGAACGGGAAAAAGTTCGCAGACAGGCTAACAATGCCAGAGAGAGGTAAGCTTATAATTTCATTTGAAACTGTGCATTTTTCTTTAAAAGACAAAGCAAAAAAGTCAAGCCCAATCAATTCTAGCTAATAGTTAAATAAAACACAAATGTCAAGCAGATAGTAATGAAGAGCTCTTTTTTAAAACTTGATCAATGCCAGGATATTTTTTTTAGCCCAAGTCTTCATTCTCTATTTTCACCAGCCTAATAATTTTGGGGATAAAAACCGGGAGTGTCTTCATTGGAAATACCAAAGCTGAACTGATGAAAACTATTGTATGATTTTACAACATTCCATTTGTATCTTTTCCCAAAAAATACTATTTAAAATATGAGATGGGTGTAAGGAATATAAAATTGTTATTGAAAAAAAAAAAGAAGTTTCGGATGACGCTAATCTGATACTTGAAAAGTTCTTCAAATAATGTTTTGACTTGAGTAAAAATTATGGCGTCTTTTTCATTTGACATGAATTATACCAGTTGAAATTTGTTAGATTACCAGTATATTAAATATTGTGTTTTTACAGAGTAAGAGTGCGAGATATTAATGAAGCGTTTAAAGAACTTGGAAGTATGGTAACTATTCATTGTTCAGCTGGACAACCTCTAACTAAGTTAATGGTTTTACAACAAGCTGTCAATGTTATCACATCATTGGAAGGACAAGTCAGAGGTTAGTAAAATAGGGATTTTGATGTGGGGACAAATGTGGCAGGATAGTTGTAAAACTTTTGAGCCATGTAAATGAGAAGATGATTCCTGTTATATCTAATTCCTAATATACAACTCTCACAAGCTATAAAAATATCACTAATTGGTGTGCAAACATGAATAGTTATTTTAGAGATCGTTTATATCTCATCATGGTAATTAAATTTCTAAGCTCATTTTCATGTGTCTTTATAGAACGCAATTTAAATCCTAAAGCGGCATGTTTAAAACGACGAGAGGAGGAGAAAACGGAAGATCTACCCGGACGTTCTATGAATTCTGTGAATTCAGTAAACTCAGAAGATTTGGCCCAGCAGGCAGTGCTGGCAGGTAAGGTATGTCTATCATTTTCAATTCTTTTTGATGTGGAAATTGAACTAATGAGTTTAACGAAGTAAACATGATTAAAGTTCTAATTTAACCACATGGCGGTGTTACGTGAAAGTATCCGAAATGTTTTTTAAGTTAAAATACCAGGCAGTTATTTAATAGATGATTTAACATTTATTCACAAACATGTTGCACATCCAAGTTAAAATCTTTATATTCTGATGAAGGACTTGCTCATAGAAAGGGAAATTCCCAGTCACTTGCCACCTAATTTCTCAAAATTTTATCCCAATGAATTAAATTTTTATGTGTGCATGAAGTTAAAGAGACTGAATGGTTATTTTGTATAACATAATTGTAAGTTGTCACTAAATTCACCATTTCGTCCTAAATTTTAAGACGATTAAATTTTCCAAGAAATAGGGAATTTCATTTAAACTGGATCATAAAATGAATATTTGAACCACATTTGGCAGTATTTATATTTCTGAACAAGTCCTTGATCGGCATAATGTATGTTTTGTACCAAGCCGTATTTAACTTTTGACCTTTTGGACAGATAGTGCGGCCCTGAACAACCAGGTGAAGGGAATACAGGAGGCTGGTGGTAGTACAACAACTCATCTACTGGATAATGAAGACTATTATTATAATGGACCAGTTACTATGAAATCTAGGATGGAAACGAGTATAATAGCAACTAAAGGCGTTTCATCAAACACTATCCCAGTGACTAGACAATGGAACTAAAACAATACACGGGAACATGCCTCCACCACCCTATATAATATAGAGACGCCATCATGCGATTAGTATATATATTGGTGAAGACTATATGACAGAAGTGCGTGTGTATTATTTCACCATCACCTTCATGCCTTATGTATGATAATATATGATAATCAGTGTATGACGGGGCTTTCACCCGATTTGGATCGTACAGTGCTGTCCTTACACAGGATTATTAACCTTGCAGTGAACAATGTTATGGTTTGTCACTGCCTTAGTTAATACCTACAGTGAGCAAATACTACAAATGATGACCTGTACCATCAAATCAACATGTTGTGAGTGAAATCTTCCACCTGTGTGAATATTGCCAGTTATGTATAAATGACAAGTAAACTGTTTGATTTGGAGCATTTCTCTAGTTTTCCTTCCTACTTGGAAGGTGTTGATTACAAATCTGACAGGAATATGTGACATCTCATTGTGTACATTTCATCATCTCATTTAAATTCGCAGCATTTCATTCACATTATTGAACTACATATTGACTTTCAACAAAGCATAATTTGAGAGTTCTTAATCTCATCTGTATGGCATAGTAAGATCACTGATACCAACACCCCCAGTGTTTTAATATATATAGCCGCCATGAAGTTTGAGTTCTAGAAGACGAAGTTTATTTTGCTATAACTTACAATCATGTGTTCATGTAGTTTTTGCTCTGCTGTTTTGAGGTTTTAGCACTGACAGGAAATTTTTTGGTGCATTTTATTTTGACATATTTCTCATTTGTACAAATTCAGTTTATATAAAAAACATAGAGACATAATATCTGCCTAGATTGATAGCAGTATGAGTGAATTCAGAGTGGTTGTTCCATATTATTATTGTGCCTAATTCAAGTTATGATGAGCACAAATTGATTTACCGAATTTGCATTTACAATGCTGTATGCCGAAGGAAGAGAATACAAATGCAAAGGATTTTATTATATTATATTTGCATATATTTATTGCATTATCACTTCCAGTTTTTAAATCTTGTCTATTTTTGATGAGTAGATTGCCAAATAACCCTAGCAAATTATTGTAGTTATATGTAACTTTTAGTTTTGCCATTGAGATGGCTTACAGGGGGACAGTGGGAATTTGTATATCATTGTGCAATTATATATTATGTCAAGAAGCATCAAACTTGTGTACATTCTAGGTAAACTTTTCTTATATTATGGCAAGTTGAAATTCTAAATTTTCTCCAAAAGTTGCAACTGAATATGAAGTTACCTCGCAAGATACAACTTGCCTCCGATATTCAAACTGCATTTACTGAATTTAGTCTTTTGACAAAACAGAATCCAGGACATGATAGATTTTATATTTTGGTTCTTAAAATTATTTTGTTTTAGTTGATTTAAAAATTATTTTATTCAATTATGTTTTAACAAAATAAGTTGTCCATTATGGACAATGGGAAGAATCTTGTTCCTTTAAGTTTAACCAAAATTCATGTAGGGGGTGTCGCAAAAAATCTGGGTCCAGAATATATCTACGTGGCAATGTTTATTTTTGTTTTGTGTGGTAGTTAATAATTAAAACCTATTGTACATTAATCACTAGCTTTGGTCATCTTTTAATTATATCCTAAAAGATTGAGGAATTTTTTTTTTTTTTTTTTTGAAAGTTGAAATGTACTTGTACTTAATACAGTTTATATAAAAAAGATTCTAAAGATAGGTATATATTTATATAGATAAAATATGAATTTGGAATGCCTCTCTACATAAGTCTATATCCCTTTACCGTTTAGATTTTTACCAATATGTCTTCAAAATTTTTATTCTGTCTCCTCGAACTTTTCACGAGTAGTTTTTAATTAAGATTTTTTTTTTTTACTCTTTCACCACCAAGATAAAGTTGTTCTTGTGCTGTGCACAGTACTTGTGTTCTCACATGATTCTGATTTTATTCACTCGAAGTTGTTCTCGTCACTGCACTGACAGTATACTAATTGTACTATGAATTGTAAATAAGATATAAAGTGTTGCTGTTTGATTTTCCTTTTATAAAACATGTTGATTTTTTTGTATTATGTGGCCAATTAAGTATAAAATAATCCATTAATAGCTTCATAATGGAACCAATTGAATTAATTACGCTTTAGAATCTCTAATTCATAATTGAGAAAATGCTATGAGAAATTTAAAATTCACAATTTGATTTTCCTGTTTGTTGATCCAATTTAAACAGCTACATGTATTATGAACTGAATTATGAATACTGACTTTTGAATTGGAATAAATAATATGAATATTAATGAAGTGAAATGTATATGCGGTTATTTCATAAGGAGAAAATACATGAACAAAAAGTTCATTCAAAATGATATTTTTATAAAAATGAATAATGAAAATATAATATAAAATATAATATAATTAAATATGAAAGCCATTCAAAGATGGCAAAATTTACTTTGAATGTATTATTGCGATTGCAAGAGATGTAAAATTGTTTCAATATTTTTTTTGTCATTATTAAATCTTGGAGTATTATTAAATTCTACTAGGTAATCAACTATATAAACAAAAGAAAATAAAACTTATAACAATAATATACCTTTCCTTACAGCGTTATTACTTGTATAAAGGGATACTTATAAAATAAAACAAGACATCTTATTGGTCAATCTGTTTATATACACTGTTCTCTGATTGGCTGAAATGTTGTTCCACAGATTGTTATGTGGATTGGGCTTCCAAACTTCAAATTTTACCTGCATAGGACCATTATCATTGTAATACCCATACTATGTAAATTAAATATCAGCATGTTTTGAGCTAATAAATCTTGCATGCCATTAAACCTGTGTTTTACTTTATTTTCTTTCTAATGTGCATTTTGATTTTCTCGATTATAATTTCTTTTATAAACTTTGACATGTCTATCAACAAAATGAAAAATTGAACTTATTATGTGACTAATAGGCTCGCATCACTCAAATAGATGCTCCTTAAATACTGTTATACAACATTTAGACTGTTTATACACAAATCACAATTCTATGGAATACAATTACCAGTACTGTTTATTATGGAGCAACGTTTCGACTAGGTTTCCCTAGTCTTTATCAAGCAAGCCTGTTTAGGAATCCAAATTTTGATCTAATTTATTTGAAAATGCAGAGAAAGAATATTTAACCTCCTGTTCTGTGTACATGTAATAATTTCTCGACTTATCTGACTCTTAGATTTTAAAATCAGTGCGAAAGGTAGTCTGGTTTGTCTGACCTTATATTGGCAATTTGATGGTCATCAGACATCAAAAAGACCAGAAGTGTAAAGGCTGACCTGTTGTTCTCAACTACATGTAAATGTTTACAAGACATCAATTTCTGTTACTTAGATGGAATTAATGTCTCCACCTAGGGTAACATTGCAGACAAGAGATGCCTATTTTTACAAGACTGGGGTAAATCAAAACCTTGACTACTGCTACTAGCGATTTCAGTCTGCATCCACCTTGGGTAATACCTTGAATTGTATTTTTTTTCTCCGCTCTCTTTACCTTTAAGGATGTCTTATACATGTATTGTTAGATTAGAATTGAATCCCCACACCCCCATTCCCCAAATTTGAAACTTAATAGTATACATAAATTGTAAGAAAATATATATTATAAATAGTAAAAAATAAATAAATTGCTATATCAAAATGCATATAAAAAAATTTGAATGAGATTTTAATTTATTCCGTGCATGTATTATAATATTACCATAGACTAGCACTGATCAGCTTAAAGGACAAGGCAGAGCAGGACATGTTATTGTGCATTAAAAAGACCAAAAAAATCATGAATTTATAATAAGTGTTTGGGGGCTGTATACAGGATAATAATTTGAAAAGCCGATCAACATGATTTATGCACAATAATGTTTATGTTCATGACACAGAGAAACCTACTGATTGTAATAATTAATTACAGTTTTTCCCTTGAAAATAATGTATATTGTGTACAGTGTAGAGGCTAAAGAAAGTTATTCAACCTTTAATGACTCTGACGAATTACCCACAGTGGGCTTCGTTCTCTGCCAACCTATCATCGACATTCAAACGACTTCATATAAACCGGGTCATTATTATCCTGGCGGGTTGTCTGCGATATCACCTCGGTGGAAGCGGACGTAAAATACAACTAACCCACACATATCCTGGCGGAGTTATAGGTAAATGGGTCTACCCGCGAGTTATAGGTAAATGGTATTCAGCTGGAATTGTGGCGATTTAATTCGTCTGGTTTTGGCGTGAAATGAAAATCCTGCATTGACAATTTCAAAGGGATCTTAGACTACTGAAACTCTTTCCGTTGGTCATATCGGTAAATCGCTATCAGCCGAGCATGCTTTTCGAAAATATCGCTGTCTTATTTGTATATCTCAACTTTCTCATTCACTCAAAACGAGATGACAAATCTACACAGTGTTTAAGTTTAAAGACCAGGACCTTTTTATACGCCCATATTTTCATGTGGATGAATATTGTCGTTGCCCCAGTCAGTCCGTCCACAATTTGTTTGTGGACACCTTACAGGTCACAATTCTTATCCGATTTTGACGAAACTTGAAATATAGGTTTATCTCCCAAATATTTCGGTTCTTTTAGATATTTGCGCATATCGGACCGTAACTTCCTGAATTATGGCCCCTGTTTGTACGAAAAATCGCGTTTTTAGCATGTGGAACCTATAGAGGTCATAATTTTTATCCGATTTAAAAAAACTGTTTGAATATATCACCGTTACACTCTAACGATGGTTGAGTTCGAATTTCGTAAAAATCGGACCAAAACTGACAGACAGAATGGCCGCCCCTCGTACTCGAATAGCGTAACAATTATCTAGGTTGTGCATTCACCGTTACACTCTAACGATGGTTGAGTTCGAATTTCGTAAAAATCGGACCAAAACTGACAGACAAAATGGCCGCCCCTCTTACTCGAATAGCGTAACAATTATCTAGGTTGTGGACTCTAGAGATCACAATTTCTTCTGATTTTGATGAAACTTGAAATGTAAGTTTATAACCCAAAGATCTCGGTTCCTTTTGATATTCGCACATATCGGATCGTAACTTCCTGAATTATGGCCCCTGATTGTACGGAAAATCACGTTTTTAGCTTGTGGACCCTATAGAGGTTATAAATTTTATCCGATTTTAAAAACCGTTTAAATATTTCACCGTTACACCCTAAGGGTGGTTGAGTTCGAATTTCGTAAAAATTAGATCAAAATGGACGCCCCTCGTACTCAAATAGCGTAAAAAAAAATATGGTATATGAATGTTGTGGACCCTCTAGAGGTCACAATTTTCTTCTGATTTTGATGAAACCTGAAATGTAAGTTTATAACCCAAAGATCTTTGTTCCTTTCGATATTCGAGCATATCGAATCGTAACTTCCTGAATTATGGCCCCTGATTGTACGAAAAATCGCGTTTTTAGTTTGAGGTCCCTCTGGAGGTCACAATTATTATCCAATTTAAAAAAACCCGTTTGAATATATCACCTTTACACCCTAAGAGTGGTTGAGTTCGGATTTCGTAAAAATCGGACTAAAACTGACAGACAAAATGGCCGCCCCTCGTACTCATACAGCGTAAAAATATGGTATATCAAGGTTGTGGATCCTCTAGAGGTGGCAATTTTCCTCTGGTTTTGATGAAACTTGAATTGTAAGTTTATAACCCAAAGATCTTGGCTCCTTTCGATATTCGAGCATATCGTATCGTAACTTCCTGAATTATGGCCCCTGATTGTACGAAAAATCGCGTTTTTAGTTTGAGGTCCCTCTGGAGGTCACAATTATTATCCAATTTAAAAAAAAACCGTTTGAATATATCACCTTTACACCCTAAGAGTGGTTGAGTTCGGATTTCGTAAAAATCGGACTAAAACTGACAGACAAAATGGCCGCCCCTCGTACTCATACAGCGTAAAAATATGGTATATAAAGGTTGTGGATCCTCTAGAGGTGGCAATTTTCCTCTGGTTTTGATGAAACTTGAATGGTAAGTTTATAACCCAAAGATCTTGGCTCCTTTCGATATTCGAGCATATCGTATCGTAACTTCCTGAATTATGGCCCCCTTTTAGCTTGTGATCCCTCTAGAGGTCACAATTATTATCCGATTTAAAAAAAACATTCGAATATATCACCGTTACACCGTAATTTTGATTGAGTTCGGATTTTAAAAACCGTTTAAATATATCACCATTCCACCATAATGAATGTTGAATTCGAATTTCGGGAAAATCGAAATGAAACTGCCCGACAAAATGTCCGCTCTTTGTACGCAAATTGTGTAAAAGTATGCAATACGAAGGTTGTGGACCCTCTAATGGTCACAATTTTTATCTGATTTTGATGAAACTTTAAACATCTTTATAATTCAGACCATAACTTTCTGGATTAATGCCCCTGATTGTACAAAAAATCCCGTTTGTTTTTAGCTTTTTCTCTATCCATCTCTTGCAAAATGTGGGCGTATCCTGCCTGGCAGCCGCTGGTTTTTTAATTACATTGCGATAGCCCAATAAACACCGAGCACTCTGAAAAACATACTCCGGTCCGTTTTAATTCTACATCATCATAGTTACGTCACTCCAAAACCATGTGAGAGCGTGAACTTCTTGGCCACGTGTTGTGTTTTTTTTCATATCTCGTGTGCTTTTTTCTTGGTAGGATTGCTTCTGGGTAGATTAGACATTGTCGGTCAAGTTGTTTAAGTTCTACTGTTTCGTTCTACTATTGTGTAGTTGACACAACTGCTGTTTTTCGTTGGTTGCTACGCTTTTATCGACCCGATCTTGCGTTAGCCTGTCTCGCCATTTTTAATATGGCGTCGAATGCCGTCACCGACGAAGTACGACCTCTTTTAGAAGATGAAATACCTTGGGGGTATCCCTATTTCCAGTGACACACTTGGAAAACAAGCTAAACAACCTGGTGTGTTATTATCAGTTCAAGATACTATGAATCTTATGTCGCAGCATCTTGAGACTATGGGACAGGCAAATTAGCCAACAAATCTGGCGGTCACCGCCGGTCTCCTTCGGAAATATCAGAGACAGACTCAAGATCATATAGAAGTAGAAGCATCCGAAAACATCCACATAAGGAATCACTTAAGCGGATTCCTAGAGTCTCTGCTCATAGATCACTTTCTTCAATGAGAAGAACGGTCCTTCGTCACACCAGTTCAAGTTCGACATCAGATACCGGTCGTTATCTTAGCCTTACTAGTTCTGATTCTTATGATTTTCATAGAAGCAGACAATCCCAAGTGTGTACTGTACCGAAGTGGACAAGGAAGCAGATGCATTGTTAGATACAATTGATAAGGAATTTCTTGGTTCTGAAAAGATATGACCAAAACTGTCATCTAAATTAGCCTCTTCGGTAAATAGTCGGTTTGCTGAAAGGATGACTGATGATATATTGAAGAAAACATTGGAGAAATATCCTAGGCCTGAGAATTTCCAGAACCTGTCTGTTCCCACAGTTAATGGGGAGATCTGGGCAAAGTTGGGCTATCCAACGAAACGACAAGATTTACGTTTGGCTAATATTCAGAAAACATTGGTTAAAACAGCTACGTCAATTGGCTTATGTGCATAAGATATTATCAATATTCCAGAGGCCTCATCTAAAAAGAAAAAAAAAACCCATTGGACTGACAACTTCAATGCACCTAATAAAGTTAGGGAGTTGATTGATGCTGTTCCCTTTAATCAACTGTCTCTTAAAAGACGAGACTTGATTAAACCAGCTTTGAATAAAGAATTTGCAGCCGTCTGTTCTACTCGAGT